AGGCATTACAAATTAATCACATTTTGTTTGGCCAACAAGCAGTAAATTATCTGGTTATATCTGCGTACGCTCTTTACCTAATTTTGGTTCTTGGAATACTTTTTTCTCTATTAATATTAAAAAAACTATGAACGATCAAGAATTTACAAAACCAAGTCTAAAGATTTCAGATTGTACTAAACCAAGTTCTGAATGGACTATTTTATTGCTCAGTAACAAAAGTATATAAACCTAATATTTATATTTACCTTGCTTATTTCTAAACTCACTTTCCTACTTTTAGTATCAGATCCAAACAAATGGTCCAAAACAGATGTCAAAACGGAGTTAAAAAAACAAAAAATTGGTTATAAAGATAAAGAGAATAAATGTGAATTAGTAGCTGCATTGAGAAAAAATATTGGAGAAGAAATACAAAAAGAAGTAAAAGGTATATATGATAATGTTTATCTTTCGATTGTTCTTATTACTAACAAAACAGTATATAGAAATTCAATTGCAAGAACCAGGTAATATCTCACCAAATAATATTCTGTCTGATTCAATAAATATACCTGTAACAAAATCAAAAAAGCATTGAGTAATGTATTCAAAAGATAACTTAGAAAAAATTGAGCTAAAGTAAATAAATATTATTTATACTTAGCTGAATATGTATCAAATACCAATAATTTACTATTTTTCTAGACAAAGTTATTTTGATTTAGGGTGGGCACTTCGAGAATGTCAAGAATATGGTAAACGTGGTAGTGAAAAACACATGACTAAACAAGTCAAACAATTTCTTAAAACCTACTTTTTGTTAGGCGATATGGACAAAAAAAATCGATTTACTGCTTCTACAATGCTTGAAGAATTGCAAAAAAAAGTAGGAACAGGTGAGCTAGAAGCAGACGAAATACCAAAAATAAAGACAGTAGAAAATTGAATAACATGATACAACCAAGAGCATAGAAAGGAATTAGCGATAAAAGAATTATATATTTCAATAGAAAGTAAATAGCGTAAATATAATATTTGTATATATAACCCGCTATATCTCTCCACTTCAAAGCATCTTTCTATTGAAATTTTTGCAATTTTTGCTCAATAAAAATTTTTCATATGAAAAATCATATACCCGAATACTTATTTGAATTTGTTAGCAGAACATATTGAACTCGGGTATTATATTCTATGGCGTATAGTAGTATTTTCATTCTTTTGCATAAATATAAGTACATTGAACTATATTATCTATTTGAGTATCTTCATACTCATAATCTTGAACCAATTTTGTAATAATGCAAAAGTGGACAAAAAAAGAGGATTTGGTAGCTTAGTAAAAAAGATTCGTATGACTTTTATCGTCTATTATATATACTATTTCTGTGGCTACATGAGCTAAACATGATATTATTAAAGTGAAACAAAGGCGAATTGGATGAATTTTTACTATGATTAACATAATATGCACCCCACCAATCATTAATAAAATTGTTTCCTTTACTCGTGAATTACGAATTAAAATTTAATAAATTTGATACATCAGGAAATTTTTAAATTGGTTTGCAATTGATTGACAGAAAGAAATATCAATTGATAAGCAGCACCCCTGTCGATTATTAGCGATACTGATTAGAATCGATTGACAAGAAAGCTGCTAATTAAAATCGATTAAAATCGCTTTGATTGAAATCGATTAATATCAAAACTAAATTAAAATTAATTATTTTTTAATCGATTGTGTATTGATTAGCTACCAATATCGATTATTGTCGATTTTTCTAATCAATAGCAATCGTCTCTGCAGCTGATAATCGATATCCACCCTATTTTTTTTTTTTTTTTGTTAAGGTGATATCTATGACCGGAAGCTTTTTATTAGATAATTAACAATATTTACAATTATAATGAGGGTACAACTAGCCACACGTACAACTTTTGGTTGTCTATTTAAGTAGTTCACCCAAGTTCTATACTAGCCACCATACCTGCAATCTAACTAGAAGATTACCTATTTAAGCTCTCTGGCTTTTACAAGTGAGAGTACAACTAGCTATACT